ACTGGCATATTTTTTTTTTGTTTTTATATAAAATTCGGAAATTTTAAAAAATCTACTACTTATCATATGATATATATTACGTGAATTTCAGCATCATCTGATTTTAGCATCATCCCCGACAAATAATGATGAAGTATTAATTTATAATATATTTAGAATAAGTTTAATTTTTTTTCACATATTTGATAATTTTCTAAATAATATTATATATTACAAATTGATTTTTATTTGATAATTTAAATTAGTTAATTTAACAAATTAAAATTTTATTTTGGTTTAGAAAATAAAGCAAATATTAAATTATAAAATATTATAAAACAATTAATATTTAATTTGATTTTTTTAAAAATATTTCAACTATTTTTTTTATAATTAATTAACATATTAAATATTTGACAAGTATTAGCAATTAAATAAAAATAAAATAAAATTTTATTATTTAATATATATTGAATTGATATCAAGTAATAATGTATTGAATATTTTATATCTAAATATTTAATAAATAGCAATATATTGAATAGTATTATTTTGATCAATATATTAAATATAAGTTGAATAATAGTTATATTTATCTATTTTAAAAAAAATAAAATATATTAAAAAAATTATAATTATACTAAAAGTTTTATAAAAATAAAAATAACAATAAAAAAGAATTTTTTGTTTTATATAAATTTTGAAAAAATTAATTTTTTAATTTTTTGTAACTTGTTACTAAAATTTTTATTAATATAAATACTTAAATATAAATTATATAATTATAATAATTAATTTATTTATTAATATTTTTATTATTGTTATTAATATATTAATTTTACTTAAAATTTTATAAAAATAAAAATAATAATAATAAAGAAATTCTTTACCTGATATATATATTGAAAAAACCATTTTTCTGATTTCTTAAGATTTATTTTGAAATTTTATATTATAATTACTTGAATAAACAATATATAAATAATAATTATTAGACCAGTAGATTAATAGTATAATAGATAGTGCTTCCTGATTTTCAAATATATATCCCTAATTTAATATCTATAGGAGACAAAATATATAAAAATTGTTTTTATTTATGAATTTATTATAAATGTCATATCCAAATATTCAGATAATAATCAAATTTAGTTAGGTTGTATAAAGATAAGACCTCTGGTTTTTTTAATAATTGTAGACTAAAAACAGATTGAAATAGGAAAGGTTACATAATATTACAAATCATTAGTTAAAAAATTCAAAATTAATCAATTAAAATTTAGAATTTTTAGTTATAATTAATTGATTATATTTAAAACAACTAATTGATTAGAAATTTTTTTACTAACTAAGATTATTAAGATTGTATAAAAAAAAGGTTTCTGATCTAACTCCAATAAAAACCTATAAAATTATTTTCTATAGTATAAAAAACTCTATAATATAAAGAATACTCTAGCTTAAGATTATCCCAATCTAATATTTGTTTAAAAAAAAACTATATTTTGAATATATAACTTGATATAACTTTGAAACCACAGATGATGATAAGAAATATAAGTATCTTCTCTAAGAAACTAGATGAAAAGTATTTGAGTTATTTAGATATTTTAATTAATCCTGTAAGGTACAGAATTTTTACAGTAAGCAGTCAAAAGGTTATCAAATTAGGACTTAATAGGAAAGTGGATTTAAACTAGCTACAGAACTTTCTACTTCTTGAATTTGTTCCACCTAGTATATAGGCCTCACTTTTATAGTAGTAAGTTTGTATATCTGGATTAAAATAGGTAATAGGAATGAATAAACTTAAATGAATCTTTAATATAATATAATTAGATATAAATAACTTAATAAAAATACAATACGTCTAGTACCTTTTACTTTAAAAAAAATAAATAAATAAATAATAATTGTTATAATAGTTAAATAGATTATTATTGATATTATTATTAATATATTAATAAATTAATTTAAATCAGTTTTTTTATTTTAATTTTAATGTATAATAAATTTTAATTGAACAGTTATCAAGTATCAATTAATTGAAAAAATAAACTAATTTTGATTTTTGTTATTAAAAAAATTTGTAGATTTTTTTTTGAGTAATATAATAAATATTATCAAAATAAAAAATATATAGTATATAAAATTAAATTGAAACAAATATTAGATTTAATAATTTAGTTCAAGTATATTTTTTGAAAAATATTTATAAGTTTATTAAATATAATAATAATAAGTATAGTTTTTATAATATTAAAAAATATGAATTACAAGAAAACAAAAAAACAAAAATCTATTGCTATAGACTTTTCTCTATATAATTAAAAAATAAACAAGATTTTTAAACTTAAATAAACTTCAATTAAAGATTTTTATCCTATTGCATTAGTTATTTTTAATAGTTTTAAATTTCTAAACTAGTATTTACTTGCAATAAAGAATATAAAGTATTTATTTTAAACAAAAATTATTATAAATAAAATTTTTTTAAAAAATAGATACAATTAAGAAAGCCTTATTTTAATAATATTAAATATAATTTAAATAAAATTATATTAATTATTATTTTAAAAAATAACAATTACAGCATAACAAAAATATTTATTTCAAGATTCTAAACTCAATTATTATAAATATATTAATTTTTGATTAAAAAAATACAATTACAGTATTATACAATAATAAATTAATACCTTTTTTTAAATAAATAAATATATATATTTTAACAATTGTTAATTATCATTTTAATTATCCAATATAAATAATTATGATAAATAAATAAAAAAAATAGTAGCAAAAATGAATTCTTTAAATAATAATTTATACAGTGGAATTTCGATTAACTTTTTTTATATCAATTATCATAGATTATATTACTCCATATGGTATAAAACAAGATATTAATTTATTTACATTCTATATATAAGAAAAACCAAATCTTATATGATTGTGATCAATTTAGCACAAGAACAATGGTATGGCAAGGGCTTTTGGTGATATTCTTCTCATGATTTATTGCATTCGAAGGAATAATTTTTTGCTATTCTTAAAACGCCCAACAGCAAACTAATTTCAATTAATAAATTTTGTGAAAAAATGCTAGCGTTTCAATTGATTCTTCTTTTAGCCAAGGAACCAATAAAAAAAGATTAAGATCAGAAACTTATGTTCGTAATTGCATTGAGTACTCCTGTCGTGAATATTATCGCACAACGACAAATAATTGTAATTATAATTTGCTGCGTGATTATTTGCCTCGGCCTGTCAGGTTCCGAATGTCATGCGTCGAAATCAAACTTGGCCATCCTTGGGGGCTCTGACTTGGCAACAACGGATGGTCTTATGTGCTGCATTACGTTTACATAACATAGGCATCAACAAACATTCATCTCTCTCCAAGATTTTCGTTCGTGCTAAATAAAGTACACAAATTCTTCAGTCGTACCAGACATTTAAGTAGTGTTACACCCGTTA